CTATGGCGTTGAATGTTGGCCTTTAAAAGAGAAGCATAATAATAAGTTAAGTGTTGCCGAGATGAGAATGATTAGGTGGATGAGTGGCTTTACACTTAGAGACAAAATGCGGAATGAATATATTCGTGATAGGGTTGGTGTAGCTCCTGTGACAGACAAAATTAGAGAAAGTCGTCTTAGATGGTTTGGTCATATTAAACGTCGACCATTAGATGATCCGATTAGGAGAGTAGATGTTTTAGATTCGACTTGTGTTAAGAAAGGCAGAGGTAGACCTAGGAAGACTTGGGCTTATTGTATTAAAAATGATCTTAATTTACTAGAACTAAATGAAAATATGACACTAAATAGGACGCAATGGAGAAAAAGGATTCATGTAGCCGACCCCACGTAGTGGGATTAAGGCTTTGTTGTTGTTGTTGTATTGATTTAAATGTGATTGATTTTAATCAAATTTGATGTAATCTAGATTTATATGAATTAATGAATTTCATTTGATTTTATAATTTTTATGTTTCCAAACTTTTACATTTTATCAATAGTAGATATGTAAAGACTATCAAATTACCATCTGAATTGATTTCTTTGTCTTTTTGGCTTCATCAAAAGTTATCAATAGTAGTTAAAATTAAAATCGTTATGAACTTGTGTGATTTTTTTTGCATATCATCGTAGAGCTGCATTAACAATTATAACTAATAGATATCTCAAAGGATACGAAACTACCATCTGCTTTGATTTCTTTGTGACATTGGTTTCATAAGTAATCAATAGTAGTTAGAATTGAAAGTTTGTTACAACATCGTGTATTTTTGTGTGAATATTTGCATATCAATGTGATCACCATTAACATACACTAGACCATAAGATGTCCAGGACCCTAGGTTAGTGTCAAAATGTCCGCTAGAAAGTGGAGTTCAATGACCATGACAAAGAGAAGGGTCTATATTTAAAATTTTTGCAATAAATGACTAACCATTTTTCTAAATAAAAAAAATTAAATGGGAGTAGATAAAAATAAAGTTAGAGCTAGAATTGAAATTGAGCAAAGTGTCAAAATAGTACCTAACTATTTACATGGGACAATTTTAATCTCAGGGTTTATAGAAGTCTCAAAATAATCCTCAAAATCATTAAATTGAGGCAAAAATAATCCTTATGGAGGCCTATTAGAGCTCAGTTTTAAAATAATTAGGGACTATTTTGACACTTCTATAAACTCTATTATTAAGGCGACCCCATGTAAATAGTTGAGGACCATTTTGGCACTACTCAATTGAAATTTGTAAGCAATTCATCATCAAAATCTAAACTAGAAGTTGATTATAATTGTATTGGTCAACCAATCAATCCATCAAAATGTTAAATATTGTGAAAAGAAAGAAATTTGAAAATAGATCTTATTTAGTATACAATGTGAAATCTACAGTAATAATAGTTGCAAGATATAATTTATGAAATCACATACAATATATCCCATGACCCAACTCAATCAAAGAAATAAATGCAACAGACAAAAGATGCATAATCTTGTATCTTGTAAATCTGGTTTGAAATTTATCAGATAAACTAAAGGAATTAGGGCCCGTTTGTTTCCGCTTATTTCCTCATGCGGCGTTTTCAAAACGTCTCCCCTCAATTTGTTTGTCGCGTGTTGGGTGCGATTTGAAAACATCATTCTTATTTTCTTCGTTACCGTCGCCCACGAGATGAACCCCGTGGGCGGCGTTTCTTGTTTCCGGATTACTTCTCTGCCCTTCTGCATATCTGCTTTAAGCTGCTTTGGCCTTCTTCAATGATCTCCCAGAGGTAATGCATCTTCCTTTTTTTTTTCATTTCTTCTCCATTTTCTAGTAGCGCTCAAAGCTCCTTCGGCTTCTTCGGCGATCTCCCAGAGGTAACGCTTCTTCCCTTTTTTTTTTTTGTTTCTTCTCCATTTTTTTTTGTTTCTTCTTCGGCGATCTCCTTCGGCTTCTCCGGCTCCTTTGGCATCTTCTCCATTTTTTTTCATAACCCTAAGCTGCTTCCTTCCACTCCTGTTTTCTACAGTTGATTTGCTCTTTATATTATCTGATGTCATCCGGTTTGAAAAAAAATGAGTTTTTCCCTTACTATTGGTGCTCATGTGGCTGGATGGAACATCAAATTCTCAACGCCTTACAAGTTATTTTCTCCGTGTTTATATAAATTTGAATTCACCAAATGCAGTTGGAAATAATTGCATTGTATATATCAAATTATCTGTGTTTGATTGAAATATATCTCGGTGAAATGGTTTTCTTAGTCGCTTTTTGCTTCATTTTCTACATTTTTTTTAATATTACTAATTTTAATTTGTACCAGCTCTTGATATAAAATTGTTTGGGTGTTTTGTATAAATTTTGACCTATAGATGTATAAGGGTTTAGTTTTATGAATACAAAAGATTAGGTGTTACATAAAACCTGAATTCTTGAAGTTTTATTTTTGGCATGTTTTGATGAAGAAAAGGGTGTCTCAAGCATATCTAATAACTTATGTTGTGTATTTGTGATTTGACTTGAATTTAGTAAAGTTTGAGCACAGAAAGTGGAAATGAATGCAATTTTATGCGAAGAATTTTTGCAGGAAAAAACAAAAGCCATTTTTGGTTATACGTTATTTTAAGAAAGATACAAACAGAGCATTATTGTGGCATTTAAGAAGGATTCATGAAGCTCACACAGATTAGTTAGGGAAATGAGTAAATTTTACTTCAATGAATTCGTGAATCTTTAATTTTATCTCCCCTATATGATTGCATAAGAAGGTTGGTAAATAATAATTTTTTGGTGGTCTGTATGTGTTGAAGGAGCCTGAAGGAGTTTAATTGGTTCTAAAATATCTAAGAGGTAAATATTACAGTTTTGTTAAAAACATTACAACTTCTGTGTGTCAAATTGTTCATTTATCTAAAAAAATTTACAGATCAGCTGTTTACAAAACGCACAAATCAAACAGCTAAATAGCTTATCCAAAACAGGGGCAGGGGGCAGAATGGTCATTTATCCAGAATCAGTTGTTTTCCAAACGCACAAACCAAACAGACAGAAAGCTTATCAGGATCAGTTGATTATCAACAGCTTATCAGGATAAGCAGCTTATCTGGATAAGTTGGATAAGTTGCGGCTGCCCCAAACAAACCCTAAAAAGTTGCCTCTTGAATGAAATGGTTAGCATTGATATGCTTTGAGTGTTAAACTCATCAAGGAATCGCCCAAGATTCATTCAAACAAATACAGCAAAAATAATAGATAATAAATGTGTCATTGAGAGCATTAGTTTCAAACATATCAATTCACACTTAGCTATCACACATTTCATGAAACTCATTGAATCTAACGACAAAATTATCCAAAATAAATAACCATATTTCCCAACTAACAGCTCAAAAAGAAGACGAGAAACTCAATTATGAATGAAAACAAACAAAAGCCACTAACAAAAATTGCATGAAAAGTTAATATGGATATTTATTGTATCATAACCTGTCAAACTTTTGAGCAATTAGAGGTGTAAAAAAGAGGAACGACTCAATCAGACTCAGGGTGTATTTGGGGCAGCTGCACCTTAACTGCCCCAGGAAACTGTCGCGGGAAAGCTGTTGCGGGGAAACTGGCTGATTGTTTGTTTTGTGGTAG